GAAGAGGAAGGTTGTCCAGGAAATTTCCAATGTTTCAGCGGTCAGTGTCTAAAACGGGACCTGGTGTGCAATAAAATCGTCGATTGTGACGACGGAAGCGATGAAAAGAACTGCGAGGAATGGAAGTGTCAGTTCGATGAATTTAAATGCCCCAGTGGTGAGTTCTTGAGACATATTCTTTTAAATTTTGTTACTTATTAATATTTATTAAAACGAGGTAATAAATATTATACCTATTGTCAGCAATTTACTTCGAATATTTTGTGTATTTTGTGCATTGCGGAATATTTTGAGTATTTTTACACTTTTTAAATTTTCTACAAACGTATAAATTATATATATTCGTTAATTATATATATTCGTAGTCCAATAATAAGCAACGATACATTATTTAGTACTTTGTACAATAAATCAAAGCATAATGCTAGTGAAATAAGATTTGTAATAAAATTGGACTCGAAAAATTTGTAGCAGTTAATATTTTAATCGAAATGAAATTCAAAGAAATTGATCTCGCCAAGATAATATTGGATTTCATGAAAAACGGGAAAATAGGCAACAATGTATAAATTGCTAAAAACAATGCTCATACTATTTAATACAATATTAAATTTTTCAAATAATCTAACAACTAGAAATGAAAAGCTCATGAACAGTGGTACATTTATGTGAAGGATCATCAGACATGCAAATTAAAACGACAATTATCGATGGAAAAAAATGAAAGGAAAAACTTGACATAATAACGGCTTAATGAGATCTCATTTAATATTCAATACAGATTTCGTAACGAAGACTATTTTAATAATATCAGACGAGATGTTTCCTCTCTAGCATGGGTTATCGGTGTCACTAGTTATCGTTTGAGCAAATTGCTTCGTCATTCAGCCTATTTCACGTTACCGGATGCTTCTTAAAATCTGTAATTAGTCATGACTATTTGTCTTATCTATTAAACTAGCAACCTACTTAATTAGTTTCACAAGCATCGTCTTTACTCTGAGATATATTTCAAAACAAATTAAACTAGGATCGAATTTAAACTAAACTAGAATCGCAGCCGAAACTTCTTATTTCTTTTCATCTGTGAGCCATTTAAAACATGGAATTTGAACAAAATTCACGGAAACAGATACAACAGAAACACCAATTCTTTGTAATCACTCTTAATTCAAGGAGTAGTAAATCTAAAGGTTAACGTTTAAATTCTTCCAAAATTAATTAATTCATTCCCTTTCCTTCAAACACCGAAATCTGAGAAAAATCGAATCGAAGAAATTCGCGAAATAAATATATAACAAAGAGACGAGTTCTTCTAATTTATTTGATAATTATTTCTAATTTTAGGAAGGTGTATTCCGGGTATCTGGCAATGTGATGGTCGTCCAGACTGTGAAGATCACCGAGACGAGTATAACTGTGCCGAAAGTTGTGGAAACGACGAATATCTTTGTCCAACGGAGAAGTGGTGCATACCGTTAACGTGGCATTGCAATGGTATCAACGAATGTGCCAATGGAGAAGACGAGAAATTATGCGACTGTGCCCTTGACCAGTTCAAGTGTCAAACAGGCGGATGTATACCGAAAAATCAGGTGTGCGATGGAATAGAACATTGTCCTGATCATTCTGACGAATGGGGCTGTTTAATGGCGAACGTGACTATGGAGAAGACATTGTTGGATGGACAGGACGATGACATTGAAAATAGTGATGTTCAAGGATTTGAAGAAAGTTCCTTGTTAAAAATAAGGTACATATAAAATGTTGAAATTAAAATTAGATGAAAAATTGAGGAATTGATTTTCTCAATATTTTAAAATTCAATAAATAATTTTTCTAATTTCATAAAAATATTCTGATTTCAATAAATCTTGTTTGAGATTTAAAATTTAATTTAATTAGATTTCAAGGAAGCCACAATATATCATTCTGCTATTCGAAGCGTTGGAAAAAGTCCTATCACTTGCTCTCTTCAAATTTCAGACAAATACATTTACAAAGTACGTCCACTCTTATCCAAGAGCAATCTGTTAACCTATCTTAATATACCGCTATCGATAGAATCTATTTCGAAATTTTATTTCAAGACCTAACTCCACAAATCTAAATACAATCGAGAATTTTCAACTGCCTCGTCGATCCATCTGTTCTCTGTATCAGTTCAACTTAAAAAAGACATTATCGTTGAATAAATTAAGAGACTAATGAATTAAATGAAGCACACTGTATCATTTTCAGACAATACAACGGCGAGTATCGTCTTGTGTGCTCCGACGGATGGAGTGAAGAATTTAGCAACTCTTACTGCCAGTCTCTAGGATTCGCTGGTTCTGAGAGCACAGAATTCCAGAGATGGAACAAAACCCAAAAGATACTCAGATTAAAGTCGAATCCGAGTCACCATGCACCGTTGGTCACGAACTTGGAACAAAAGGAGCTCTGCGTCTCCGAGAAGGTCGTGCAAGTCTCTTGCCAAGAATTTTCTTGCGGTTCTGACTATGGCGAAGGACCAACTGCCAGATTGGTTGGTGGTACTCCAGCCAGCGAAGGACAATGGTCCAGCGTGGCTTTGCTAAAGGAACCTAAACACGGTGCTGCTTGCACGGCGAGTATATTGGGACCTATGCACGTGCTTGCTAGTTATTCCTGTACTCATAGGTAAGTGCAGATCCAATCAAGCAATAATTCACTCTCTAAACTTTTATGAAACTATAAAATCTAAATGGAAAACAATGAAGAGAAAATAATAAATGAATCCTTCGAATTTCCCACTACAACCGTAATATTAAAGAGTAGAATTATAATAGAAATTAATTGATTAGCCGGTTAAAGGAGTCAAAAACCTTTCTCTTTATTCTGAAAATTCTGGAAATAGTAATGTTTTGCCGAATAATTAATGTGACTCTCTTTTTTAGTTGTTATTATTAGAAGTAATCTTCTGACTGCAGTCTCTGAAGATTTTGAAGTCAAAAGATTATCAACTCAAAATCAAATCTTGGAGAAAATTTAATTAGTAAAAGACATATTTTTCATTTTATTTAGATATAAGCAAAGCAATGTATGGCAGCTTTTTACCGGCGAAAACTTATTAAAAGCACATCGCGTGAAGAACATCATTCCCTATCCACAAGTGAAATATAATCAATTTTTATACAACAATGACATCGTATTGGTGGAGCTCGAGAAGCCTTTGACTTTTTCAAGAAACGTTAGCGCAGTCTGTCTTCCGAAACATCCTATTCAGGTTTGTATTATGAATATTTAAAAATATATGAAAATACAGATGAAGAACTATTTAAAATATACATACGTGTACACATTTTTTAATAAATTTTAGCCAAGACAAATATGCGTCATGGCAGGATGGGGATTCTCTGTGAATGGCGAAGTAGATTTACAAAAATATTTGAATTTCCTACCATTGCCAACGTTGGATTCTGAGAAGTGTAATGCAACCAGTCACTACGCAGGATTTATCACAAAGGATAATATATGTGCCGGATTCACCGATACGAATAAAGGACCTTGCTATGTAAGATCTTTAAATGATATTAATAAAAAGAGAATATAATATTCGTTAGAACTTTGAATAATGGAATGTCCCATTATACAATTAAATACTCAATCTAAAACACAAAATCTATAGCATATAAAATTTCGGCTAGACCAGAGATTCATGCACGTTACAACTAACTTCTAACCCTCTCTCTTAACAAAAGAAATAATTAATTTCTCCTGTTTCCTTTTTCTTTCAGAACGACGAAGGAGCACCTCTAATGTGTGGAACCGGAGGAGGATCGATCAGATGGGAAATTCAAGGGCTGCTCAGTCACCACAGCAGATGCTCGAGAGGTCATCCGGCAATTTATTCTAGCGTGGAACCAGCGTTATCTTGGTTACGAAACTCCGTGCCCGCTTTGCAAACGCAAAGTTAAAGTGCTAATAAACGTGGTTCCGTTCTTTTCACGAGGATACGCGAGAATTAGACGAATTTTAACTCGATTTAATACGAATCGACCACAACGATATGCCGGAACGAACGAAGAAATAACAAAAATTTTCATCGGAGGGGAAAGATTGACTCAGGATTGAACGTCGAAGTTCCTGTTGAAATTTATAAGACATGAAAACTACGTACTTAATTTATATTCGTCTGTATCTTTCAAACGATATGTTCCTATTTAAATGCAAAGAACGTGTTTGACGGATAATCGCGGCCATAATTCGTTCTGCATGATGAAAACACATTCCGAATCGTAAACAAGTTTTTCCCTCCTGTCTCTAACGATGCCAATTAACGGGTATTGCAATATTCCGTGATGAGTTTTTGCGCTCGTAAAAAATACAAATGATGACACAGATACATATACATAATTGGCGATACACGATATTTGCAATTAAGGAGTTTGTAAATACTGTATAAAGCGACTGTTTAATATGCTTAACATTGTAAGAGATTCTTTTTTTTTTTTTACAAGTTTAGCGAATTAGGTCTCTTAAGAATGCTGTTCTATAAGTATGAAAGGACGCGAAACGTTTACACGCTCGTTTATTCTGCTGAATACCCGACAGGTTTCATGTGACAACTATGCTGACACGCACTTCACAGTCTACTATGTCAGAGAAATATTAATAAAAGGTGTTACTGATTAGTGTATTGTCCGCATGAATCGTTTAAATTTATTTTTCGTTTGAACAAAACAGCAATGTGAAAATATTTATTGGAAAGGAGAGACCATCAAATAAATACATCCAATTATTCAATCAACAGTTTGTCTCAGAGATCCTATAAAAGGATTCCTGAAATGAACGATGAAATAAGTTAAGATATAGATAGGATAAATGTATATAATATATAAGTATTTTAATGAAATACATTGTTACGAAAAGACACAATAATAAAATATGTTTATGTATGCATAGTCACTGATGAATGCGTAAGTATTTTTATATGCTAAGATAAAAAAATATATGTATTTTAAATGAATACAAAGTTGTTTCATTTTAAATATAAATAACTTTATTCATAAAGTAATAAATAATAATTTTTTTGTAAATATATTATTTATACAATAAATCCTTAATCTAATTGTTTTTTGGGCATTGCTGCAATTTCGGCTGTTGTCACAACGCCATCTATAGTGATTAATGATTTAGAGATACTAGTTATTACTTCATTGTATTTGGAAAAGACTTCGTTTATACGATTGTTCAATCCTTGAGAATCCTCGTATAACTTGAGGTATGACAGATTCAAATCATTGAGTTTGTTTGTCAATTCTGGAACATTTTTTAAGTGATCAGTTTCTAAGGCAGGCATTAGTTCTTGCATCTGTTTCAACATTTCGTGATTCTGCTTAATTTCTGGTGCCATAGCTAGTAACAATTGAACTTTAGCCTCTATAGGTATTTCTGAACTTTCGATCATTGGATCTAAATAATTATTTAGTTCTGGTAATCGTTTTATCATCAGATTTGCTTTCTCTCGTCCTGACATTGCAGATGAAATTAGCGTATTTACATGTAAAATACTATCAACTACAGGATTCTCTAATGAATTATCATTAGTTTCATCTTTCTTTGCAAGTCCATATATTTGCTTTTCCAATTCAGCAATCCTATTCTCAAGCAATTCAATGGTCGTCATTCTAACTGTTAAAAAGAAGATCATCATGGAAATTATTTCCATCAATGAATTACTTATTACGTTAGGCTAATTAATGCGCTTTATACGAATGGAATTTTAAAAAAAATACTTATCTCTGTTACTGTATCAATATCTTTTATAGAATGAAATTTAACTTTGCATTCATGACTACTTTCACTGTATTATTAAACAATAATACTATTAATAATATTATTAAACAATAATCACTATACGACCAATAATTAAACCAAATATTGTTTCAAATATTGATTTAAATAAAATATTAAAAGATTCGCAATAGATATTATAATTTTATAAAGCACTTACCTATAACAATTTAAGAATTCCAAAAATATAATCTCAATTTACACAACAAACTTGTATAAATAACAATTTACATGTATAAATCAAGACACAAATTTTGACAGATGAAATTAGGTTATAGTACGCGACTATGACCCGAAGTGATACGATATGCGACTACTTCGTATCGCAACTCACTTCAAATCGTTTGAAAAAAGGCGCGAAGCCGAACATATTGATAATTTCGAATTTTTACATAACTTATTAACCTCAACAAGCTTCATAGTAAGAATGTTTAAACTATATAAACGATTAAATATGTATCAAAACAGTAATAAAGACGCTCAATTATATACGAGATGTATAAAGTTAAAGTATAAGATGTATACGATGTAAATTAATAAGATGCCCAAATTAATGTATCGTTAAATTAATATGTCGATTTCCTTCAAATTAACTTCGATAAAAAAATTACATATCTGACACGTAAAAGATAAAATGTCTAGAAATATTTGAATTTTCTTTGTAAAAAGCAGAGAATCACAAGAGAATAACAATAGTAATTATTATCGTCTTTGAAAATGACCGTTTATTACGCAGCTGTGAAACTTACCCGAAACTCTCAACGCAAAAAGACAAAAGACTGCTTTAAATAGACGCACAGTGGTAAAGTGCGTAAGTATGCGTATATAGGCAGTTGCAACTGTATACACTTGGTGGGTTCACACTTTTAAATAAACTCTCGATCTCCCCTCTTCACTTAACAAGAGAAACTGTTACAGACGAATACCAGACAATGTCCGTAAGAGAACCGCGGCGGGCGACGACTGTACGACGGAGGCGCGTGGTAGGGATACGGAGTATCTGTCATGGCCGACATTCACTGGGAGAGTAGTTTTGGTCAGACCGCATCAGCGAGCGGTACGCGGTGTCTTTAGTGGTGAAAAAAACATGGGGCGCGATAATGGGCAGACGGTCAAGCGAAGAAGGCGTTAGCGAACTCTCGGTCCTGGTAGAGGACGATTTATGCGAGAGGTCCGCGACGATGGAGTCACGAGCACGGAGGACTCGATTACGTAGCGTTGTAGGGATATGTTTGTTTCTCGCGCTCACGGGCATCATTTATCTCGGCTACTTCTGTCCCGATCACGTATGCGCTCTGACGAGCCGCGAGATCAAGGAGTCCGTGAGATTGTCCGAGGGTCTATCTGCTGGTCCCGTGTCCGGTTTGTCTTCCGTCTCCGTCGAATTCGACAAAAATGGCCTGCTCTCGGTACATCCTGCTTTTAGATTGCATAGTATTCAAGGGAGCCTTGGTTACGACGACGTGTTTACCAACGATACCTTCCAGTTTGACATCAATGGTCACGATGTCATCGTTTTCTTGCACATTCAGAAGACTGGTAAGTTGTGTTTGCATGTGTTGTTTAATTCTTTTTTTTAACTCGTAAGTTTTTTTTTAACATATTCGTCACTGAATTTAATTTATGGAAAATATGTATGTAATTGAACTTTTTATGAAAATAAAATTTTCATACAGTGTAAAATTTATAAATATTTATGGTTAAGTATTTCTTTCTTTCTTCTGTCATGATATAAATTTCTTTTTCCATGACAGTTACATTATTTATCTGTTTCTAATAAAAAAAAATTAGAACTAATATACAGTATGAAGGACTAAGGATTATAGAATGCATAAATGTATTTTTGATTGATTTTTTACTTTGATTTCTTTGGGCTAATGCCAACCAATCCTATGGCTCAATAAAAACAATGCAACACCCCTTCTGACCATTGTACAACTGAATCTTTGCATTATTCATTAGGTACTGTGAAACCTTCAAGCTCTATCTTAGAAGGAGAAAGAACAATTCAGGGATGTTACCTTGTTTAATATGCTATGCATGCATATCTGTATTTCCTTTTTATTTCCCATGTGCATTCTTCTTGTGAGCATTTCTTCACAAACTTAATATATAATAATAAGATACATATTCTAAATATTTGTTTAATGAAGCTATAATAGTAAATATTTTTAATAACACTAAAAAAATTTAAAAAAACAAGATTTTTAATAAATTAAATATATTTAAAAATTATATTTGTATACTTTTTTATGTTACAGGAGGTACATTATTTGGAAAACATTTAGTAAGAGATTTAGATCTGCAAAGACCGTGTTCTTGTCAAAGAAGACGTAAGCGTTGTTTTTGTTTCCGTCCAAATCGCAATGAAAATTGGCTTTTTTCACGATATTCCACTGGCTGGAAGTGTGGTTTACATGCTGACTGGACAGAATTAACTAGCTGTGTTGATACTGAGTTGAATAAAATTGAAGGGGATGGCATAAAGCGTAGATACTTTTACATAACTATAATAAGGGATCCTGTTGCAAGGTATTTGTCTGAATTTAGACATGTACAAAGAGGTGCAACATGGAGAGGAGCTCGTCATTGGTGTGGTGGCATCCAAGCAAATATACCACAGTGTTATCCTGGATCGAGTTGGCAAGGAGTATCTTTAGAACAGGTAATATTATATATTATTAGTTTTAATGATATTTGGTAACTTGGGAGCATCTTTGTATGTTAGTATTCTCATGAATTCATAACAATGATTTCTTTCATAAATAAAGTATAAAGTATGTTATCAGAAAGGCTTTCACATTTAGAAACAGATTAAGATAAAGTATTTTTCCTTATCTCCAGTCTTTATTTTCTCCTTCTCTGAATAGATACAATTTTTTTTCCTTCTATAAATACGTTTTCTCCTATGAAATTGCTTCACTAATCAATTTTAACATAAAAATTTGTTTATGTTAATATGTATAAATAATAAATATCAAATATGAAAAAGCTCTGCAATAATTTAAAAATATTCTATTTAAAATTTTGATATTCTCTTGACAAACAATGTTATCATTTATGTAGTTTATGGAGTGTCCATATAATTTGGCAAGCAACCGTCAAACAAGAATGTTGGCTGATCTATCAATTGTTGGTTGTTACAATTCTACACTCAGCAGCTTGGAGAGAGATCGTCTCATGTTGGCTAGCGCTAAGCACAATTTGCAATTCATGCCTTTCTTCATGTTGACTGAATACCAGAAAGTAAGAACCAATTTTTTTTGTTGATAATTAAGTGCATGTTTATATATTATATTGTCCATATATTTACATGTATTTGTATCGTTAGTTATTGTAGTATTCTTCATTATTGTTAAAAATTGTTTTTATTATTATCATTAATTATTTTTCTATGTAATATTGATTTGTTTAAATCTCTAAAATATTAATATTAATTTTATGTGCTTCGATTCATGCATTTGTAAATTATTTAAATTTTGCAAAAAATTATTTTGGTTTTTAAATTGCTTGAACCTTTTGTATTAACAAGATATTTTATGTTGTACCAAAGAATCATCTGTTCGAAAGTAGCTCGTAATGTAAATATTTGTTTTACTCATCCATACATGGACGATGAATATTTGTAAACATATTACACTTTTAACATTTTGGTTTTTAAAAAACTTTTTTCTCATTTAAAATGCATGGAAATTATATTTGTATATCATTATTTTTCAATATACTTAACATGTGCATAATAATTTTAATATATTAAAAACTTTTAATATATTAAAATATTATATTTTAAAAATACTGAGAATCGATTTAATACGAAAAACATGAAACGAAGCGATTATGTAAGTCCTGCTTTATATAAGTCATTTTTTTTAGCACCGTTGTACTATCACACTGATCTTTTTGCTAGTTATAGCTCGTAAATTACCGCATTATTCAGAATATTGCATGTGTAAAAAAATTAATAATTGTTAGAATACATTAAAATCGTTGCATATTTCTTCGCTTATTACCTAATAAAAAAAATTGTACGTAGTTGTTGTTTATCATATATAAAGGATAATTTCTAAATTAAAAATACATTTAAGAAAAAATAAAAAGAAGAAAAGAAATTAAGAACTAAAAGTGGAAATTAAAGTCTTTTTCGATCATTTTTAAACTTTAAACTATATGAATATACATATATTATTAGATATTATCTTTGAAAGAAACTTTTTTTTAAATTCGTTAAAAAAAATGTTTTAATCTGCATTATCGACTTGTTTTTGTATATGAAGTTTAAATTTTCAATTTTCGCGCGAAATTTCATACATCATATAACGTTCATTTATATAATTCATTGCTTGTATTTTATGCGTTTAGTTGCGTGCGTAAACGTTATAAAATTAATTTAAAATCGAATAGGTGGGACAATATTCCTTCGAAGAAACATTTGGAATGAGATTTGCCGTTGCTTTTGAACAACATAATGCGACTTTGAGCGCTGCCACAATGGCTACCTTAAGCGCGGAACAGTTAGACGCTGTACGTAGATTAAACAGATTGGATTTGGAATTATATGATTTTGCAAAGAATCTTGCGTTTCAAAGGTTCAAACGGCTTAGAGATCGCGACCCGTACTTTGTACAACGATTTCAACACCTTGGAGAATTACCTTCTAGACAAAGTGCAACGGAATTTAATTGGGATTCTGTCATAGAAGATACTACAGATGTTGAATGATATGTAAGTATGTTATTGATAAATAATATCGATGCTTTGCATTCATAGCTGGGCAAAAAAAAATGCTCTGAATCTGAGTATCTCAGGGAATCATCCTTGAAGGAAAAAAAAAAGAAGAGTTTTACATAGAATTATGACGCAGGCAGTTGCCTGCGTGAAACTTACCAAAAGTGTTTATAGTAAATAATATGGATAAGACCAAAGAGAGCTCAGAGAGAGAGGATCTTGGAATAAAGTCTTGAAATCCTCTTTCAATAGCTATATATGAAAAAAGAAAATTATATAATCACAAATTTTTTTATGATTTTTACAATGTTCGTAAACTTTTTTAAAGAGTTCTTCCATTTTTGTTTAGAATACATCACATTTAAGGTTAATCTCTGTTAACATTTTTGCTTCATATAAGATAAAAATTTGCAAACCGATTTTATTAATGTGTATTACAAAGTCAATTCTAGAGAAGAAATATATATAATCATTTCTTGAATACTAATTATTGAATACTATAATTATTTCTTGAATGCATACTTACATAAAAAATCTAATAGATTTAAGAAGAAATGTCAACTTTAATATGTTCTGCAAAAATATAAATGTCTAGTATTTCATATGATACTCAATATTTTAGATGTATTTGTTTTAGTATTTTTTCAATCGTGATAAAAAGTTTAGTTGTATAATTTACTAATTAAAACTACTGACATGAATTATGATACATATTACTTTATTTTTTCATTTCTATGATTATATATCATAATAATATATTCATGTTTATAAATATATAAATAATATATAAATAATAATAATAATTGAAAAGATAAATTTACTTTTGATATATGTCATATATGCTGCAAATTTTTCAATAACATTTTTAACTATTATCCTATTGCAAATTAAAAGTATCATTTAAGAAATAGTAATTATAGCAGCTTCTGTTTAAAAAGAATTTAAATACGAAATAAAATATTTCTTGCTTTAAAATTACATCAATTGCAAATTAGATTGGAATCTATATACCTAATTAACACATGAAAGAGATAATAAAAGTGACATAATATACAGCATGTATAAAAATCCCTATTTATAGTGGTTTTCAATGGAAGGATAAATATTACAAATTAATTTTGTAAATATGTCTAAAAGTCTATATTTTTTAATAGAATCATTTGCAGTGTTATTTGAATGAGGTAGTATTAGGTTTAATAAAGACGATCTATATAGTTTAAGTGATAAAATGTTCATGTGAATGTTAGAATGAATGATCATTGGATAAACGTGTTAATATTAGATGCTGATTATTTAACAGTCTAGTTGCTCACAAAGGTCATGTTTTAGTACACATTCCTTTCGATAAAATTTCTTTGTTTTATTTCATTATTTACATGCAAATATTGAAAGTGTCAATCAATTTTTCATATAAAATTAACAGGTGTTGCATTACAAAGTTAAATAGATTAGATTGAAAATATTATGTGTTAGAATCATACGTGCAATAAAACTCAATGGGTTACCATTACAAATATTTCGTATCATCCAGTCATCAAATAAATGTAATATATCCTATATATATATAGGATATATTTAGCTAACTACAAAGAAAATTATTACGAAACAATATGCGAATGCTCTCTTTAGTCGCATATTCATCGACTGCGTAAATTATCCACAAACGTTTTCAAACGTCTTTAGTCTTTAGTCAAAACGCATAAATGCAACATTCACAAACATTTGTGAGCGTTAACATTTCAGATTATATTATCGACATCTCAAATGACATTTGCTGCTTACTAGAAGAAAATTCAGAGTATTATCGATGGCAAATGTTCACGAGCATACTACTCGTTAGCATTTATGAAGAAAAATTTGTCATATATAACTATATATTATGTTCAAATGTTCACAAATTTTTATGAATATTGTCTGTGATTAGTGAGTATGTGGATTTTAATGTTGGTTTTTCTATGAGTATCATGTTTATATTCTAAGTTGTAAAATGAGTGCCATGAGTGATGTAAAACAAATTGATCTGTTTTTTTTTAACTTTGCTATTACAAATGATTTGTGTTAATCGAAGAAGCGTATCATCTTTCCTAACAGTTGTTCATAAATTTTAGGCTTTCAATGGCCTGTGTTGAATTGATTTTTTTTTTTTGTTCATTTGTGGATAATAAGAGTATCAATTTGATTTTTAATTAATTGAAATATGATAACACAATATATAGATAAAAATTAATTTGGTGATATTATCATTCACAAGTGAACAACATATGAGCAATTTATTTATAAATATATATATATACATATAATATTAAGCATGTAATATGATTAACAATAATGATCATTTAAAAATAACGTTAAGGACCAAAGATTTAATAAGTTTTTACAAAAATGCAGAGAGCTTGTTACAAGCAATTGTAAAAAGAAAACTTTTTATATGTTCTTAAATAAAGTGATCATTATAATTGCAATAAGTGAAAGGATGTGTTTCAAGATCTTTTCACTTGGTATATAGGTACAATAATTAGAAATATTCACTTGGCTGAAAACACAAATGATCTTTTAAGCAATTAATGCACAGAAACAGATTTTTAGCGATATATTGCTATTTTCGTGTACTTGCCTTTACTGTATGTTATCTTTCAAATAATTCAGAAATGATCGAACTTAAATCACACAGGGTGTGCAGTATTTTTAAAATTAATGTAACACATTTAGAGACAGTGGTTACTATTTCATCAATTTTTCTTTAGGTTTCACTAATTATATGTATCTCTGCCATTTTTTTATTATATTGAGGTGTTTCTCGTTAAGTGTGCAAAGGAATGCTTGTGACTATTTGTAAACATTTATGAGATTGATAGTTACTTCAATATTTACATTATCAGCATTGTAAAAATGAACACATATTTGTCAGATTAGCGTGAATGAAAGGCAAGCTTTAATATATAGTATGAAATTTTCCGCATGAAATTAAATTTCAACAAAAAAAGAAAAGAAAAACATGATGAGAACAAAAAACCATGACAGTAGCCTAATAAAGCAAAGTATAGGCCTAAGCCAATGGTACCTTATGTAAGCCAGTGTACATACCACACCATTAAATCATTAAGGAACAATAAATTGTTGTGTACACAATATTATATACAATCTTATACAAACATATATATATATATATATTATATATTATATTTATTATATTATATATATAATATATATATATATATATATATTATATAAAAATATTATATGTAAATTGTACACATATTTAAAATTATGTTATTTGATTATTAAACAATTATAAATTATATGAAAAAATGTATGCAGTTATTTTAAGATATACCAATTTCAAATTAGAGCCCAGGTTACATTTAATAATACTACCATTATAGTCATCATTAATTTTTGTAGATATCATTCTATGAGTATAATAGAAAAAAAATGAAAGCAAGATATAAATTAAAATGTTTATTTTGCAATTGTTAATTAAATGTATTTGTACATTATTATTAAGAGATATATTTCTTATCCATAAAATTATGTTTTAAGAATTTTTATCTAAATTAGAACAATTTTTGATTTCATACTTTAATTTTAGACAAATATAGGATGGACATAAAATGCTTTGAGTACCAAGGTATAAAGAGATTGATACTTATCAGTACTAGTATCTTTTGCTAGAGTAATGATTGCTCTAGCATGATTTTTTCAAAACCTGTGGGTGGAGGATGAGTAAAGTTATCCAAAATTAAGTCTAAAATGGCCCCGTCGTCCACTATAAAGAATTAATTTTTGTTCAACCCATTAAAGCATTATTATATTATTTTAGTTTAGAAATAATTACCATAAAGTACTGGATACACAGTTCCCTTTATACCCATAATTGGACCACCAATTTGTTTTCCATTTAAGTAGAAATTAAGTTCTATATGATCATAAGATACACCCTGATGAACAAAAGATCATTAATTATTCATGAACTGATATATGTTAATATAACTCATACTTACTATAATATCTCCTTCTTGGACTGGACTTTGAATCTTATGTATTTCTTGTTGATTATGCCTTACAACAGAATCAAAATTGACGGCCCAACTTTCTTTGTCATTTCCCCCAGTTGTAACATTTAAATCTGTAGATCTAGTGGCTAATCCTATGGCCCATATTCCACCTTGTTGTATTTTAACTTCAAAATAACTTTTACTTTGGACAAGAGGAGCATTTGTTAAGGCACCACCACGACCACACACTCTTAGACCATTTTTTACTATCACAACTTCATGTCCTGCATCAATTTGACAATATTTTCCTTAAACACCGTTATATTTCGCAAAATTTCTTATTGTTAGTATAAATTATGTAAAAACAGAACTCTCATTATGACCGGAATACATAAATTATCAGTGACACTAAAACGCATGTTCTTATCTTCAAATTGGGTAAAAATGTGAATTTTATGTAAATATGACGATAAGAGTATCGTTAACGCTTTCAAACACTATTATTAACGTTATTTCAATAGTACGAAGTAAAAGTTACCCATATAAGACGTGTCTAAAGATATAGGATTTGGTTGTCTCTTTTGTGTTTGAGTTGCGGCAAAGCCAAGGCCGTTGAAACAGTTTCTCAAACAGCAAAACATCATCTTTGTTCCCTTTTCTTTACGGTTTGTTTAGATGAACACGCGAAGCATTGTGACACTGTTAGGAGAAAAATTCTCTTTTCTCCCGGAATAAAACGAACGACTCACGTTATTTACTTCGATTACACCGAAACCCTAAACACCATGTAATGCCTAGGTATGGTAGTAAGTTAGTGCTATACTCTGCGCATTTCAATATAGAGATGCACTTTAAGTTTTAGTGTATAGGTAAGCTATGTGTAGATGACTGAAAATGGCTTCCTTTCAAATTTATGCAATCAATATTAAATTTTAATCTATATTCTATGGATGTTTCATTTTTTGTTCAATTTAATATTAGCAGTTATTTTTAATTTTAGATATTGCTGTATAAACTAAAAAATATAATGTATTACATCTGAATTTTAAGGTTATGTTTTTTCATTGCATAGTTCATGACTTTAAAAAGTGAAATTCAAGTTAAACTTTTAAGTTACTCCTGAATTAAATTAAAACTTGATTCAATATTAAAATCAAATAGGTTTAATGAAGAATAAATGAGAAAGCAGGGGAAGAAAGAAAACAGAGCTGTAGTAGCAAAGGCTAGTATTTATTTGCTTATTTTATACAACAGAAATTTGTATTTATATTCGACTGGGATACAACATCTGTAATAAGATAACAATATTAACGAATTTTATATCTATACCATACGAAATAAATAAATTATCAAACTTACAATTCTGATACGATGACCCATAGCTTTGGCTGGCAGGTTCCTCTTAAACTTAGCACGTACCGAACCACTGGTTCCATGTGGTCGGGTTACTTTACCCCAAATAGCCCTAATTTTAGTTTTTCTACTTTTTTTGCCAGGAACAGGTGTTTTATTTTTCGCCTGTAAATTATTATATTAATTGATATTGTTGTATTTCAATATGAATAAAATAATTTAAGAAATTACCTTATATACATAAACACATCGTTTTCCTACATAAAAGTCTGAGTCCCGTTTAGTTCTAGCGCCTTCAACTTTAAGTAATGTTGTGTGTTCATGTTGATTACGAAGACCACGTTTATACCCAGTGAAAATTGCCTTGGCATAAAGGCGTCCATGCCTTTTGAAAGGTCTCTTTTTCAAAGGAGGAGGCTCTACTGACTTCTCCTTTGATTTCTTAGTTGCTTTCGTTTTGGTCTTTGGATCAGCAGATATATCTGCCATTTCTAATAAGAAGAAATCATACTTATAAAAACTGAAATTATATCGCAATAAATTCTATGCTTAGAAAATTCACCACCAACTAAAATAATCACACATTACGATAATTATTAAATAAGATTTCAAATTAAATCAGCGTTTCAGGTTATGTTGAAATAATGTTCGAATTATACATAAAAAATAAAACAATTTTCACTTTAGTATCGAAACAAGATGTCTATAACACGGATTTTTGTAAAATTCTCGAAGAACAATTTAGTGTCGAGGTATTGGAATTTTATAACAAAGTACACATTTTTGTTGTTATACGGCTAGAAATGCCATGCAGAGACAGATGCTCGTAATCCATTGAGATCAACGAAAAATAAGCCGAATGTGACAATTAGGATAATTACGTGATGTTATGAAACAATTAATAACAATTTGTAACTATTATTAATCTATCAATTTCATTAATTTAACATATTTTAAGTAATAAATGCAAGAATGTAACAGCAGTAAACGTACCGGATGTATATCCCGAACTAAAAGAAACAGGAAACTGTAGCCCTCTTACGGCAAAGTTATAAAACAAATTGAATAATGATGTAGTATATGGTATTACCAAGCGAGTTTCATTTTTGTGAGGACATTAATACAAACGTTAGTCTGAATAAATATCTTCGAACGAAACAAACTCAGGATTGTTAAAGTGGAGACTTGACTCTTTAAAATAAAATCAAGTTAATTGTTCTACAATTTTTTTTTTCACGAAATTATAACAGTTTAAAGTAGTGACAATGTTTCTAGTGTATGAATATTTTCGTCGTTTTTTAAGACTATCTCATGAATTTTTTGTATTTGATTTAGACTAGAGTTTTTTATTTTTTATTTCCAGTTAACATTTCGTGCGAAACGCGCGATTACAGCACCACTGTACCGTGAAATACGCAATATACTTCCTATGATTCTCGAACGTAATCGATATTTCTCACGATCGATTTTTGAACGGGAAGCATGGCGGACCGAAGCACACCTCGTCTGCAAAGAAGAAAATATATTATCCACACAGAAGAATCATCCAGAAAGAAGTATCATCTAAAAGTTCTCAGGTAAAAATATAAATCAGTAACTGTTACATTTGTGTTTGTATTGTGAACTTTTAAAATAAAACGTGCATATTTGGCTTCTATTCAAGGTAAGAATTAAACTTAACCAAACTATTACATATAATTTTCAACAATTAAAGAAACAATCGCGTATAAACATTTAAACAGAACATAATATGCTAAAAGTTATTTATAATTTTATACCAAAATTTAATTTTCGATTCTAACCAGTAAAAATATTGTAACCTTGTAATTGACTAACTCATATATATATACACGTATTTTATCATATGCTTTTATACACATACTTCTATTACAACACTTTCTACTTATTTATTGATTCATTAACTTCATACTGCGTAATTCTTAATACTAAATTTAATAATAATTTATTAAGAATGTACGTCTTTAATAGTTGAAATAACAATTTTACTGCATAATGTAATAAAATTTTCCATTTCTCAAATAAGTAAGGCGTAAACGGCCTTCAGGCTCGAAATTCGTAGTTCAAAACATAAACACACGCCATCCCCTACTATTTTCTCAGAGACGTGTCGCGGAGAGTCATTTGGCCATCGAATTTCGCGACAACAACACGCATTACATCGCGTTAGTAATCTTTTCTAACCTATCGGTAGCGTCTCTTCGATAGCGTCGCTTCTTCGACACTCTTTTACTTCCATTTATACCTCATTAATAGTATCATTTAATTAATACGTATTGTGTTTAATGATTAATTGAGCATTACAGTAATGAAATCGTATAATAGCTTGAAATTTTTCGCGTCGATTTTTCTTCAATCGTCGATTTCACTCTTACAGTTACCGGTAGCTTATCTCGTACATTTCTTTAGTAGAATTTGAGGTGATTATCGTTTCATTTTTACGTTTGCCTTCATTTGATATATTTGTTTTAACTTTTGGTTTCTGTTTTTGCAGGTTATTCCTCAATTCCAGAAATAAGATAGAACACACATAAATGCCACGATTATTAATGGACAATCTGATATTCTTTGACGGAAATTTGGTAATATTTCATTAATTTTAGATATATACAAACGATTGATGCGTAATTAAACGATTTAAAGCAAGATTTCATACGCTTTTTTCATAATATTATTTCTTTCGTGATATTATTTTTGAATATTTATAACACTTGACGTGATATATTAATTAATGGGCATATTTCCTACTCTAATAATGAACATTCAGAATACAATACTCGTCTTTCATTTACAATATTTAGTATTGAGATATACTTTATAATTTACAACTGATATCTTTAATACATATTCAAGTTTCTTTTCAATTATGTTCTAGAAAAATAGCAGTATTTTCTAAATGAACTTATTCTTCGCTCTCCTCCAACTAATCCAACTTTATTTTCAGAAAATTTTAGTGACCGCGCGCAATGCGGTTAGTAGAGTCAGTGTTTGTTGCGAAATATTTTTATATTTTTCTGAGCAAAATGGCTCTCATTAAATTAAATAATCAATTCATTCAAATTATAATTCGTGAAATTAGAGTCAGTGATATATTGTACCTCAATTTATTCAATTTTTTAAATTTAACAGCAAAGTATAATGTTTGATGTTTTGTTACAGATCTTCTACCACCTCCATTTCCCCTAATCTTCGAAGAATCATATGATGCTTCAAAAGAAAAAAATGTAAGTTGTACTTAAGCACGTTGTATTTAAATTTTATTTAAATTTTAGTCTCTGTAGTTTTTTTTCTACTGAAATCGAATGTAAAATTATAATTATAAAATGAGAACACTTAATATTATTAATCCCAATTTTTATCATTATTAAAACTTATAATTTCACAAATAACATTGTATTTTTAAAAACGAAATATTTTATGTTTTCTTAGAAATTTTTGACGGCGTTCACTATGGAATTCAAAGTGGTATTTACTTGATGAGGGTCTTCACGATAACTTTCCATACTCCAGTGCAGCATCGATGACAACATTCTTCGCACTGAGTGAGTCGCATGCATTTATGTTCCTCCGGTCACTCAATCATGTCGTAGGACGAAAGGTCCGAATCGGCACGGGTGATTGGTTGTATACGTAGAATTTTTGATGAGCATAGTGACCGTGGGTATTTTTTATACCCGTGAGTAGTAACAATTTTTTCATGTTTTTTATGTATAGATCAGGATAGAGCTTCTTGCACACCGCGATTTTAACAATTAGAATATATATATTTATAGTAATTACTTATAATCAAAATATCTTCACTATAAATGTTTGCAAAAGTAAAATATCCATATGAGTAGATAAATTATAAATTTATTTATGAATAATTATTATTAAAACGATCTCGTTTGAGCATATAATAGTAGAGAAGATGGATATTCTCCAACTTCGTTGCTATGAAAGATGCAGTTATTACTTGTTGATACTGATGATATATTTTGTTATAATAATTAATAATTTTTAATTTCATCTTCCCTTTCGTGATAGTATTAAATGATTTAATTAACTGAGTTTTATAATTCTGAAACTTTAGTAGAATTTTGAAATATGACAGATTAGAGTTTCTTTCGTAGAAAAATGTATGAAATTCTATGTGCAAGAAGATACTTCGCGACAGGCAGATTTTTGAATCAAAGCAACAAGTTTGAACATTGCTTTCGCATTTTCGAAAATTTGCTTTGACGAAGAAGTCGCCTGTATCAATATTTAATTTAGAGTTAATTGTCTGATTTGATCGAATCAATTGTTAGATTGCTCATAGTATCTTTTTTAATAAATTTAAATCTTCTTTATTCTCTTTATTTTCTCTTTATTCTCTTTATTTTCTTGCAATTTCAATAATTTCTGAAAAAGTAGAGTCACTGGAGTTTGAAACAAAATAATGCAATAGTCCGTTAGATACGAATTACATGAACTAATCATTTTTTTAGTTCAGGATTTTCAGATTTAACCCTTTCCGTGTTTATTGTCAGGATCTCACTCACGTGCCCAGGTGCTGCTTGGGTGGGTGAAAGACATTGGGCACGATGACCATAGTTTGTAATTTTATAAAAAATTTCTCACCGACTGACAGTGTGTTAGCGTATCGTGCACGACGTATTTTCCGCATGTGTGTGTGGTTAGGATGTAGAATTGCGTCGTTTCTATTGTTCCATTCATTATAAATATTTAAAATATTTGAAATACGAATTTATTGTAATAATACTTATTAAATACACTATAGTTGTACAATATAATTAATTACACTATCAATTATATAATATGATACAATATAATAATTACAAGTTAACTTTCTATAGAAATTACGTACATTTTTTCTTAGTTATTATTTCACATATAACTGTATATATAAACGTGTTTTAATCAAGTTTCACGCAATGGCCGCTAGCCACTGTCAGTCGATTTCAGGAAAATGGTACGTAAATTAGAGTATGAAAGTTGTGCGTTAAGCTCGGGTGTCGGAGGCGTCCCGGGACGTCCTCTCTAGTTTAGGTCTGCGCCCGAGTGGTATGTGTGAGAA